GGGCTGTTCTCCACAGACGAGCGCTGCGTTTCGAGGAGTTTCCCTATCTGTGCAGGATTGCTGGGCGGAAGGGGATGGTCGGAGCTGGCGCACGTTGCCCTGCACAACCTGCTGTGCAGCTGGAAGTCGTGGGCTCGTGTCGGGTGGCAGGGACCTGCAGAGCTCTCCAGGCCAACCGGCAATAGGCAGGTCCTGCTTGAGTCAGAGCGGGTCCTGTAGGGCCTCGTCCAGCCACGTTTTCAGTATCTCTGAGGATGGAGATTTCTCCCTGCACCAGTCCCTGTCTCAGTATTTGACCACTCTCTTGGGGAACAAGCTTTTAGTCAGAATTATCCATATTGCAGCTTGGGCCTCTCATCCCTCTGCTGCTCTGAGGAGAGTCTTCCTCTGTCTTCTCTGCCCCGTTTCATGAAGTAGTTGTGGGCAGCAGTAAGATCCTCTTTCACCCTTTGGGGGGGCTGAATGATCACAGCTCTCTCAGACTTACCTAGCATGCTGTGTGCTCCAGCCCCTCTCTATCTTGATGGCTTCCACAGATCTTGTTCTAGGATGTTAATGCCTTTTTTGTCCTGGAGAGCCTAGAACTGGATGCAGCGCTCCCAGTGGACACACAAGTGCTGCAGAGAGGGAAGAATCCCTCCCCTGGCCCTACTGGCTGCACTCTTGCTCATGCAGCCCGGGATGGGACTGGCCACCTTTGCTGCAAGGGTGCACTGCTGCTTGGCTGCCAGATCCTCCAGGTCTTTTTCTGCAAAGCTGTTTAGATTCTAGACAGCCGCCTGCCACCTGTCCTGCTGCAAGGGGTTAAATTACCCCATCCCAGAGCCAGGAGTTTGCACTTGCCTTTATGGAATTACATGAGGTTCCCATCAGAACCTCCTTTCCAGCCTGTCCAGATCCTTCTGAATAGCGGCCCTGCTCTCTAGTGTATTGAGCGCTCCGTACAGTTTGATATCGTCCATCAGCTTGCTGAGAGTGCATTCTACCCCATCATCCAAGTCATTAAAATAGGGACTGAACAATCGTGGTCCCAGTATCCATCCCTGAGCGATGCCACCAGTAACTGGCCATCCATTGGACTTTGTACTAGTTAACACCAGCCTTTAAGCCCAATAGTCCAGCCAATTTTCCACCTACCTTAATGTTTGAGTGACCAATTTGGCTTTAAGGATGCTATGGGAGACTGCGTCAAAGCCTTGCTACAATCAAGGTATACAGCATCCGCTGTTTTCCCCTTACACACACAGCCCATCATCTTACCAGGGAAGATAAATAGATTGGTAGGTGTTATTTGCTTTTGGTAAATCCATGCTGGCTGCTCCTGATCATCATCTTGTCCAAGTGTACAGTAAGTCCAGAGCTTCCTGGAAAAAGCAGACCTACTAGGCATATATATTTGTGTAAAGGGAGATCTTGGATAGAAGTAAGAAAAGAGTATGCACAGCATCCACATCTCTGCAGTTTTTTATACCAGCTTTTTCTTGAGGGTCAGAACATAAAAGTGATTTTATGTCCCTTGTTCTTTGCTGTGGCAGGCTGGTGACATGGAGCCACCTCACAACACACTGTGAGTGGCCTGCCCATTACTGTGAGAGCTGGTGCCTCCAAGGGCCTTCTGCATATGCTCCATGGTGGCTGTGCAGCTGCAAATTGAAGTACGGCGGTCAAAATGGCTATGCCTCAGCCTGCTCCACGTGCAGCCTGGTCCTACCTGAGGACAGAGTCCTCATGATGATCCCTAAGAGTGCTGGGATGGCAAAGAGAGGGGGGAAAGGCCTACTAGATAGTTTAGCATCCTAGCAGAGACACTGCATTCTGTGAACTACTACTCCCTTTGATCTGCATTGGCAAAGAAACAAATCTCTTTTTTTCCTGGAAAGAGGAATCTGCCTTTCTATCCCTGTGGAAGCTGCCTAATTGATACTGCAATCTCTTTTTTCTGCCAGGATCTGACCAGGAATACATCTATTACTGCAGAGGGGAGTACCGTGAAGTGCAGTTCTCAAAAACTGTCGACAGCTGGCACTCAACAATGCCGGTTCCAGGCAACTGAAGAGCATGAATAAAGTCCTCCCCCCTTATGCAGTAGAATAAAAAATAATAAAGTTTAGAAAGTAATTCTTTACCTTTGAAGTCTGAATCTTCAAGTTCAGACGTTCGTGTTTTCTCTGCAGCCATGTGACCATAAACTCTTCTAAAGAGAAAGACGAGAATTTCACAGTAACTCTCACATGACTGACAGAGATAAGACTTAAAAAAAGCATAAAATATTACAAACATACCAATAAAATAGTGAAGTTGATAACACTTCCAGGCCATATTGTGGGCTTCCACAGTTATCATCACAACATACTTCCAGGTGAAATTTACACATTTTGCATATGTGAAGACTGTTCTTCCATTTTACAGACTTTGCAACAGAATTTGGAAATTATGCTGGCCTCTTTCTGGCTCATAACTCACAAGTTTGCTATCAAAACTCTGTTAGCAATTATGCTCTTGAGGCATGAGCCAAGACAGAGTCTAGCTTGCTCTTGCATGGCTAAATGGACCCAACAATGCTAACGAAAATATCATATAGTAAAAGCGTACATTAATCAGCAAAGGCAAAAGCTATACTTCTGTGAGCCCACCCAGGGAGCTGAGCCCGCGGGACAAGAATTGTCCGTTTTTACGCAGCTGCTTCTCTATGAAAACTGCTTTTTTCTTCTGCAGAGAAGATTTGCCACTGGATTTGTTTGTTGGACAAATAGGGGCCAGACTTCTTAGAACTTGCATTTTGGAGCAAAATACAAGGGTGGCTAAGATGTTTTTGGCTGAATAGATTGTTTCGTCTTGACTCCAAGCGTGTGAAGTTTCTATTTTCCTTTTGGCAGAACTATTGCTGTGGTTTTCTCCTGATAAGGTTTGAAAGTCAGTCTCAGTCAAGATATAAGAATGCAGAGCGGAGAGGCAGGGCAGGCTGCAGAGTGTGGCTTGATGCTGCATGGTCATTCTGTGCACAGGATGGTTTGCTATTGGATTTAAAATGGTCATGGAGATGTAGTTTTATATTAACTCAGTAGAGGGCCAACCTCTCTTATAGCTTCAAGCATCTCCCTGGGCTCTGGGAGATGAGAGAATTACAGTCTTGTTAGGCACCTGGATACTGCTGACATTTAAGCAATTAAAAGCAAAAATAAAAAAGGATCAGACTGCTGTCATCTACAAGTCATATGACGCCTGATCTAAAGTCAGCTGGAGCAGTGGCTGCTGATGTCCCTGGCTTTTGCATCAAGCCTCTGCTGTTTAGCAATGATGAAAAAAAATCCCAGACCCAAGAAACCCTTTGTATTTGAGATGGTACAGCTACATGATCTCTCCAGAATCTCTGGCTTTTTTGTGAGCGGTGAGGATTCCCATTAATGGCTAAGAAAACTTTTATGTAAGCCCTTTGTGGTTGATCTGCAGCCTGCTGGGAAGAATGACAGATGACCATTTTGTGTCACCAGTGCTGTGGCCTGTTGTTTGCCTGTGAGTCAGGATGGTCCAGTGATTGCCATTCCCTGCACTCAGGGAATGTCTTAGCTATTGCATCTAAGAGTATGGTTTGACGTTACAGTGAGCCAATTCACTGTGCTGATGCAGTCGATGATTAGTAGTATTCTTTCTGCTGGGTTACTGAACTGACCTGGTTCTTGGAAAGGTCCAGGGAGAGCAGCAGGGAATCTGCAGCCACAGTTAGGCAGAAGAGATGATGGAAAAAGCAGAGCCTCCTCTTTTTGATGATGGCAAACTGATAGATTTTCTTACCCTGTCTCAAGTAACTTCACCTTGATTAGTGTTCTGGTGGCTTAGTGCCCTGAACTGACTTCCCAGAGTCAGGTGAACACCACTGCCATCAGAAAATTAGGAGAGGGAACATGCAGGAGGTGAGGAGAGACAAGACTGGAACTGCCCCTTCCAGCAACAGTGAGTGTTACAGTGGTTTCGCTGTGGAGTTAAACCGTGATGCAAGAATTAGGGGAAGGTGCTAATTAGGAGATGGAGGGTAAAAACCTTCTGAGAGAAATACAAGCGCTCCTCTGCTCACACTTGAGGCTCACAACATACCTACATTTTACATAATTGCTTAGCTGCTGTAGTGGCACTCTGTCCCTGCACTGGACAGCCCTTCTCCCATTCCCTTCTGCACCTTGGCTATAGGCTCTTGCTGCCTCTCTTCTCGTTGAGTCTTGGAACAGGGCAGTTGCTGGATAAATCGATTGAAAACTTCTCTTGTGGGTGGTTGGTTTTCCAGTGGATTAGCTGACCAACCTACGTGCAGATGAACTCTAAGGTAATGGCATCTGAGTCTTTTCAGTGGCAGCAACTCCTGGCAGAAGGAGTAAATGCAGCAAAGCACAATATTTTGCTCATGTAATAATGAGCCTTGAATCATTACAGGCCTGATCTACTGACACACTTGGCGCAGGAAACATGTCAGGGCTGAAGGACTGGATTTTAAACTAACACTCTAAACTATGGTTCTA